ATTTGCGCGCTAAGCATAAAAGTTGACATGTGCTGGCAAATTTGCATAGTTTGCAGACTAACATTCAGCTGAAAAGAGTAGAATTTAAGGGCCTGCGAAGTCGGGTCGGTTAGCGTCGTCGCCTGCTGAGGGTGTTTGGTTTAAATAGTTGTATGAGCGCTTTTAATCTTCATAATAAATTAAACTTATCTATCTATTATCTGGTGAGAAATATGCAGTATATGCCATTTAAATATGCCAATGAATATTTTCAAATAAATAACTAAATGCCACAAGGGCAACAGCAATAATTCTCCCATCTATTCATTGTGTACAAATTTCCTTTCAAATGTCAAGTGTCAATTAATGTAAACACAATAAAAAACATTCATTGCACAAGCCAAATATTCAAAACCGAAATATGCACAACAAAAGACATGTTAATTGCGGTAAAGTTGATGGCGTAACATTTTTGGAATCATTAGTAATCATTGAATACATTGGTAATCACATCCAATCGAAACTTTGTCCAATAAAATCTCAATTGTCGTAATTGTCAATTCTGTGACAGCTGTGAGCGAACCGAACCCAACAACTCCACGGAACAGGCCGTACTACCCATTTTCTGTGGGTCTGTGGCACGTCTGTGACAGAGCGCGGCGTGGATACGTGCAGCATTTCATTTGTTTGCATTTGACAAAAATGATATATAAAACAAGTAAAAGTGTTCTAGTCGGGAGTGGCCAATATGAATATACCCTGAATCCATTCATGCACAGCCACACACATAAGGCCCACTAACTTCTCTCTAGTGCCTTTGGTCTTTATGGTCCAATCTTTAAATAATTTACATGTGCATACAAAGGCTCTACTATTGAAAATAAAAATATAAATCTTATGAAAATGGAAAGATGAGATACATGATGATATACTAGTTTTAGCAGTTTCCGAAAACAAAGAGCTCACATCTGCATGTTAGATGCATTTTCAGAAGAGCCCTATACCCTTTTTAGCCATCTTCAATGGGTTCAGGGTTAGGCAAGGCAAACGGTGTTTGGTCTGTTGAGAAGCGGGCGCTCAAAATGCGATGCTAGGCGCTGGTGGGATGAGGGCGTACGGGGTTTCGTAAATGGTCTCGGTTTTTGGCAATTGGGAACCAGGCCAAGACCTAGCCTCGTTGCATGCTCTGCATAAATTGACAAATTCGTTTTGACTTGTTGAGGATGAATTCCTTGCATGCACTTTTCTATTTCCAATTGTAGCAAGTGTGTGGCTGGCCCCACCATCACCCGCCTGACCGCCTGCCCCATTACACTGTCCCCATCTATGCTAGCGTTGTCAAACGTGCTACGAGAATTTGGCAAGAAAATAAACTAATTTGGCTTTACGAACAAAAATGCGGTTGCAATTGTTATAGCATCAGTAGCAGGACGATGAAGCGGTAAAGCTTTCCAATAGTTGCAATTAAATGCAACATTTTGGGGTTTTGTTTGCATTTGGTAACTTCGATATACGCTTCCAATACGTTCCCCCTCCCTCTCACTCTTCGACTACCTTTCCTTCTTCCTCTCCCTGTGTGTGTGTATGTGGGGGTCTTAATGGGTCTCTACTGTGGTCTCGTCCGACGCGTTTTTCCTGATAGCTTAGCTCAGAAGGCTTAGTTTTTCAATTAGTTTGATGTGTGGCAGCCTTGTAAGTGGTTGCTAAATTGTGGTTGCTTTTACTTGTTCCATCTCGTGTTGGAAAAACATAAAGGACAATATTGTATTTAAAGGGAATGCAGGGCTGGTGAGTCGTGTGAAATCCAAGCCAAGCTGCTCTAGCTGCTAACGAGTGCTGATTGAATCAATGTTTTCAGATATGTCCAGCTTATCGACAATATCAGCTTTTTAAAACAACCGTACGAACACTTCAATTATAAGTATAAACGTATTTTGAGAGCTCTGTCCAATTTTACTCATCTGATCAACTTTGAGAAAAAAGCTTTGAATTCGAAGGAGAGTTTTTTTATATTTTGTTTCGTTAACAAACCATTTTTCCCAACCTCATTCAAATATAAATAAATATGAAATATATATACAGGCATGCAAACATGGGAATTTTAAAAGCATTTGAAGTCATGACGTTTTGTTAACAATTAAATTTCTGGGGAAATAAGTATGTTAAAAAAGAATTATTAAAGCAATATTTAATATGTCAGCAGGATATAAAATACAAAATCCTTTATGTCAGGCTATATTGAGTAATATTTTATATTTACCATATATGAATTCTAAAATTATAGAGTTTATAATTCACGAAATGTTTGCTGATTGAGACATCAAGTTGTTGACTCTACAAATCGGATCAGTGTTTCAGCACTCTGCAAATGAATTCGTTAAATTCGTAAGTCATTAAATCAAATGCAAAGCCCAGCTGGACAAATGCTTACCAGCCACTGTAACCGCCAACATCACCTGAAGCAGCACCACTCGCACCTGTTTAAATCAAAAATCAAACTGCATTTGGGGTAAGAAATGAATCTTTCGACTCGGAGGCTTCCTTAGTGCTCAGTTGCAGTTTTGCTGGACTTGTCTTATTTGAATTGCTTTTCACTGTAATTGCGGTCGAGTGGCTGTCACAATGTCTCACCTCTCCACACCTCATGGAAGCACTCGCAGCTCCTGAATGGCATTATCAGGCGAAATGATTTTTGCAGCTTGAAACCCGTTTCTTACGTTTTTTTTTTTTTTTTTTTTTGACTACACTGCAAACAGTTTTCCAATTGAGTTTCGACTTTTTGCGAGTGAAGCAGGATCTTAAATGAAAAGTATTTTACTTTGACCACATATAACTATTTAATTTACTTACACACATAGGTTTTTTAATAAGGAAAATGCATTTGTGCTGCACACTCACCTTCAGAAGTGCGCCACTTGTTGGGAACTCCCCTTTCTGTCTGTCTGTCTGCCTCTTATGTCTGTGTGTCTGTCTGTCTATTTCTCTGTCTGTGCTGTGCTCTACTGTGGGATTTGGTAAAAAGCTTGAAAAGGAATAACTCACTAAAATACACGTGGCTCAAGTGCAGCGTTGACACCTAAGCAGCTGGGCAAAGAAACCAGGCAAATACTTTAAAGCCATAGACAGAGACAGCGACAACAAGTAGCAATGTTGCAATCGAGTGTAACCGACTGCGTATTACACTTGCGCGCCCAATTTACTAAGAGATTATATATTATAGAGTATAGATTTTACTTTCTTGTCACGCCCTCAGCCGGCGTATAGATAACTTAAAAATGTATCTGACATAAGTAAACAAGAGTTCATATTCCAAGTTGGATGTCCAGGCAATATGCTCTTTTCACTTTATGCTTAAGTATGAAAATGGGCGCCAAGAACTTTTTACCGTATCTTTTCAAGTGTTTGTGTTTGAGTGTGTGTGTGTGTGTGTGTGTGTGTGTGTGTGCGCCCCCACTCGCTTGTCTCACTCGAGGGGGCGTGGCAATGACATGGCTGCTGGCATTTAGCAGTTGTTGAAGCTTGGCTACACTTGGCTTCACTTTGTACTGCTGAAGCTGAGCTGCCTTTTTGAATTGCTTTTAGTTAAATTATGCGCCAGTTGGGTAAGAGAAATGCTTGCCACACACACACACACAGTCTGACACTCATACACACACACACACACATGCACAGCCGCACCTGACTTTTGCCTGACAGCAAATGATTTAAATATTTGTCAAGTAGATGGCCAGGTAGCTAGCTGCTAACGTGGCTAACAGAAAGCAGATGCTTGGTTGCAGCTGCAAATGTTGTGCATACGCCACATGCGCCACATACTGTCGACCCGCCAACGTCAATTATCAACATAATCGTTGGCAGATGCAGTCTGCAGACAACACGAAAGTAACACCTCAACGAAACAACAACATCAACAACAACAACAACAGGAACAAACAACAAAGAGCAACAAAGCACAGCAAAAAATGTGCGGTAATTAGTTTATAGCCAGCAGTTAGGCAAAACACGGAAAAATAGCGCCACGACATGACATGCAGCACCATCAGCAGCAGCAGCAGCAACAGCAGCAACAGTAACAGCAACAATAGCAGCAGGATTAAAAAAAAAAAAAAACAAAAACACCCACAACAACAACAAACGCAAAAACAAAAACAACAACAAAACAGACAACGTAACAAAATTAGCTTTTTGGCGTACAAGCATAACACCAAAAGTTGACTGAACTTGGCGCTAAAGCAAATGAAACTCGTGTAATTGTTGGCCCCCAAGGACCAGGTCGGGCCATCAATGTGGAGTTGTTGCCCCAACAACACCCCGCGGACACGTTGCACAATGTTGACCCATAAAACTGGGGCAACCAAATGCTGCGGCTTTTGCCATAGCTCGACTGTCGATAGCTCAAACTCTGGAACAGGCAACTCAACAAAGGATCGATTAAGCGACAGCCCCCAACATTTTGTTCTGTTTTCAAATGTGTTTTAGAAAAAGATTCTTAACGCGAAGTATGCAACACATTCGAATGGTGATGGGTTCAGAATCATCGCACTACAAAAAATGTTTATAATATGAACATTTACTTTGAATGTAAAACAGATGCATTTCTCGATACGAAAATCATTTTTAATTCTATGGCTTCCTGCAAAGGATTTAAGTATACCTACTTGTTGTTTCGTACAATGCGCTGAAAGGTTGTTCCCGATCAATTTGTTATAAGAAGTGCAAAGGGAGGACGTGCAGCATGCACACTATATATATATGACTAAAAACCAACGCATGTGGTGGAACTGGGTACAGGGTGTCTTCTGGTCAGGCAAACTCGACCACAGCAGGCCTACATGTATCTAGATGTTTGTCAGTTTCGGTCTAGTAGCCAGATGTATCTCTATCCCGCTTTATCTCATATTCTTCACCCTAGTTGTTTGACTTTGAAGCTATCGTATACATTTTTATCATTGAAGAGCAGTTTCTTTTTATTTGATAAAGCTCTTTCAATTCTCAAGAATTTAATTAAATTGAATTTATTATTGTTTGTTGAAACCAAAGTGTTTGACGAGATAATAATTTGATGATTTTGCTGGAAAACTAGGAATGAATAAATATAAATTGTGTCCAGAATCGCGAATCTTGAATGGTATTAACTCGTACATGGAGGCTCAGTTCTTGCACTTCTCCGACTTGGCGCTGGGGCTGACTAACTTTTTGCGCACCATTTCAGTGTGGAGCAGCGTGCCGATGTGGCACGGATTCAGGGCAATTATCACACCCGCCTCCTTGAGGGCCTTCAGCTTGTCGGTGGCAGCACCCTTGCCGCCGGATATGATGGCGCCCGCATGACCCATGCGACGTCCCGGTGGAGCCGTCATGCCCGCTATGAAGGCCACCACTGGCTTCGATTCGCAGCCGGAGTTGTGCTTCTTAAGATACTCGGCTGCGTCCTCCTCAGCGGTGCCGCCAATTTCGCCAATCAGAACAATGGCCTTTGTCTCCTTGTCGGGCAGGAAGATTTTCAAAGCATCAATGAAATTTGTGCCATTAAAGGGATCACCGCCGACCCCGATGCATAGGGTCTGGCCCAAGCCAACGTTCGTGGTTTGATGCACTGCCTCATAGGTGAGGGTGCCGGAACGAGATACGATGCCCACAACTCCGCGCTTGTGTATATGGCCAGGCATGATACCGATCTTGCACTGTTCCGGCGCTATAATTCCCGGACAGTTGGGCCCCAATAAACGTGATTTCTCCTGGCAATTGAGCATCTCTAAAATGCGAACCATGTCGACTTGCGGAACGCCCTCTGTGATGGCCACAATAAGACCAATTTCATTCTCGATGGCAGCACAAATACCCTCGGCCGCGGTGGCTGGCGGTATAAATATGACTGTTGCGTCAGGCTTTAGTTCCTTCACCGCCTCCTTAACGTCCTTGAACACTGGCTTTTCCAGATGTGTTGTGCCGCCCTTTTTGGGCGATACCCCGCCAACAATCTGAGTGCCATATTTCTTTGATTCCTCGGAGTGGAAGGTGGCCTGCTTGCCGGTAAAGCCCTGCACCATCACCTTCGTGTCCTTATTGACCTTCAGATTGCAAATGGTCTTTGAGTAGTCAGCCTTGCAGCGGACTAGCTGGCGAGAGAAGATGCCCATTCGTTTGCCCGTCAGGCAGCATCGAGTCCAGTTGCAAAAGGACATTTTTATAATTTGAATGTCTTACTGTATATTTTGTTTTCCGATTTTGTTTCGAGCTATCGAAATGTGTGTATTCTTTTGAATGAGATGCTAAACTAAATTGCCCGAGCTTAAAATTCTTAGCCCAATATTCCAAAGCCCACTTTGTGACTTCTCCCAATATCCGTTGTTTAACAAGTCCCCTTTATAAAAGTCTAAAATATCTTACTCTTTACCCATTTTCAATTGCAGAAGATGGATAATGCTTTAAGTGTGCAAATTGACTTAACATTTTAAAATACAATTTCTGAACCAAAGCCGCTTTATCTAAAGATCCTACAGAGTTCCTTTGACTCTGAGTGTTTCTGCCTTGTGTCTTTATGCATATACGTATATATATATTTGAATGTGAGTAGGTGTGTGCTCATGTATGTGTGTGGAGTATGCATAACTTAGTGCTGAGACGTCAGAATAAATCATTCGCCAAGGCTCAGTGGTTATCCTGCTGGCCGGGATGCAGTTGCAGTAGCTGTTGCCGTTGCAGTTGCACTAAATGACTTCATCGCACACAAATAAAATATCAATAATGTCAGAAGTGTAATAAATCATCGGCTTGTTGTTTGTGGATTTGAGCTGAGGCTTGTGCACAGTGCCGTACCCAGGCCGCCTCATCTTCTGGCAGGGACCTGGACCACCTCCCGTGCATTCATTGACTGGCGCTGGGAAGCCATCTGTATTTGGCCAGGGTGGGGGCAGCTATGGCGGTTTTCATTTGACGCGAACGCCTGCCGTGAAATGGAAAATGCAAATTTTTTATGTGCCCCGCACAAAAGTATGCAAAACTGACCCAACAAGCCAAAAACCCAAACCGAAAACGCAATGCGCCAAGCAATGCGTCGCCCTACCACGGCACCACCATGCCATTTACCCCATCTGTGGCTTCATGGTGCCCGCTAGGAATGCGGCTCTTATTTCTTAATCTTTTACACACTTTATTTTGTCGGATACTCAAGTATTTTGTGATTAACTCTTGCCTCATCAGAGAAGATTTCTCGTCTCATTCACAGGCTTTTTTTTTTTGGGGTTCTGTTTGCGTTTGAATACCTAAATATGAAAAAATATCTTCTTTAAAAAAAGCAAAGCAAGAGAAGCTTTTAACCATTTAAATTCATATTTTTGGATAAATTGTAAGCATCTGGCCGTTGTGAAGTGAATAGACCAAAATTATGTTGCACAAGCATGTTTCCCATAAAAATTAATAAAAAATACAAGAATATACAGATAATTAGGGTTCCAAAAAAGGTTTCATGTATTCAGCACAGTTTTAAACTAAATGCAAAATGTTTATTCTGCTTTTTGTAGAGAAGAAAAATATTTAACTTGATGATGAATATGAAATTAACATATATCGAGTTATGTCAGCTCAATTGGAATGCCTGTTGAAACAGACGCCTACAGCTATAATTTATGTTTATATTTTGTCTGCGTACACCTAATCTACTTCAAATTATTCCTATTATTATTAAATTATTTTATGCATGGCTTTTCATGTAGAGGAGCAATTGGATTTTCCATTGGGTCAATACTCTGTGCCCATTCGCCCTCCGGTTGCGCTCCATTTGTTATGCATTTCGTTTTGTTGAGTTTTTCGGTTTCATTTTTGATTGCAAACACAGTAATAAGCGTTGTTGTTGTAAAATTCGCGTAAATTTGTCTATGTGGATAAAGTTGATGGCGTATACTATATCCATACACCATATCCATGCCATACACAATCATAGATTAGAGGTGGACTTGTATTCAGTTTATTCAAATTAAACCCGAAGTAAATTAATTCAAATTCTAATTACAAGAACGTCCACATTCAATATAAACTGACCTGAAAATATTCAGGTCTATCGATAGTTTTTTTTTTTAAATGTATTCATTTCAATAGTAACTTTTGTGCGTAAATAACTCTTAGCCCGCATCTTGTATGGGATGTATATATTCGACTGACAATGTTTTCCATGCAAGATGCAATATTAAATTAACAGTTGAATAGTTTAATAGGGTTTGAATCGAAGCCTACTCGCAAGGTCTCTGGACTTCACAAAACTGGACCGCAAGGCACGAAGCTGGTGCGAAACGTGATATGAACCAGTGGCAACTTTTTGCTAATCGGCCTTACAGACAGGCATCTGATAATGCCATCTCTAATGCTAAATAATGGAACGGTAGTTGTTGTTGCTGCTGGCATTGCCCATTAGCCATTGGCCGTTGACAATTGGCATTTATAAATTTTGTTTTCAATTTTGGCGCCTGGCTAGGTTGCCAAACGGGCAGCTCGCACAATGATTGTTGATTTTAATTTATTATTGTTTATTGATAAAATGTGCGCAGAAATTTGCATAAATCGATGAACAATGGCACAAACAGAGCCCGGCCAGCAGCCGCAGAGAATGCAAATGCGAATGCCATGCGCCAATTTAGATATTTATTGCATTTTGGGCAACGGAGGCGCTGCACGGGATCACAGGCATTTCCGCTCCAAAACGGTAATGCCAAATGCAACTGGTTCCAACTTTTGGTGGCGCTTCTGCTCCTGTTGCCGCTGCCGCTACCGCTGCCGTTGCCGCTGCCGTTGCTGCTGCCTCTGCCACTGCCACAGCGGCTGCGTCTGTGTGTGTCGCTGTTTGTGCTTTTGCTTTCAATTTCCGCACAGCATTTTACCCAATTAACTAGATTTTGCTTTTGTTTGTTTTGATGCCAGTTCCGCTGCACGCCCAGGAGTTGGATGGCGTGGAGAGGGGCCTGTGTCGGGTGTCTGGGCTGGGCCTTGGCACAACAATGGTCAAAACGGATAGCCGTTGTTGCTTTGCCTGTCGAATGGAGGCATCCATTTTCTAGCTGGCATTTAGCGAAAATCGTGTGGTTGCTGCAGCCCAAAATGTGAATAGCCGAGGGCTGAACTGGGCGATTATGGTTATTGTAACTGGCGCAAACCATGGGCTATGCGTATAGATAAATGGTGTTAAATCTGCGCTTGGCAAGGATAATATAAAGGGAGTGATTGGCATTTTATAATTTTAGCTACGTGTTCCAAATGGAATTAGCTAAACTTGACGCATAATATTTATAAGTATACTAGTAGTTGATTCTAGGTGGAGCATAACATTCTTCAGAGGTTGAACGTTCTTTCAGGTGTCGGCTGCTGCCTCACAGGCACACAGCTTTTAATATTAAGCTCTATGAAAAGCTTCTGAAAGCTGAAATTTAATGCGATTAGATTTAATCAAAGCCCTTAGATTCTCAACTTTTGATAATTAAATAATTGGCACACCTGAAAATGCTAAGCTAATCCCATTTAAGGACGACATCGCCTCCACCGTGCAATTGCTCCACTGTGACGCCTTCTTTGTGCTTTTGTTCATTAAGATGCATTCTGGCTGATGGTGTTTCAGCGATACGGATACAATTTAAACTTCTGTAAGTCTATTCGCAGAATATACTCTGCCTCTGCGAGCTATGCTACCTTCTCCTGTCTTGTATTAGCGTTCCATAGCACCAAAACTTTTGTTTATCTCTTAACAGTGTCGCTAACCACCGAATGGCAAGCCCAGTCCCAGCCTCAGTTTCAGCCTGTCCCAGTCTCAGTCTCAGTCCCAATACAAACGATGTTCGAGCGGTATCCACTTGCCCCGCTCCCATGTTCAAGTCCAAACAAATGGCCGGCACCAAACTGCTTTTTCCCGATATCCGTTTGGGATTTGTTTTGGTCTAAGGGAAACTCGGACGACAGCACCGTTTCATATATACATATATGTATGTGGTTGCCTTCTCCCCACTTATACAGAGATTTTCATACACTCATACCCACATACAGGTATTGCTGCTCTGAGCACACAAAGAGCTTAACTGCACGCCCTACCTTCGGCAACACTGCAGCATATTCCATGACTGTGCCTTAGAAGGGCGGGCTCAAAGGGTTTGGATCTAAAGTAAACATAACTATTCTGCTCTATAACATTAAATCAAAAAAAGTTGAAGAAAAACCTTTGAAATGCAGATTTTCTATATATATATATATATATATATATCTAAATCTAAATCTAAACCTAAATCCAAATAATAATCAAAATCTAAGTCTATATCTATATCTATATCTATATCTATATCTATATCTATCTATATCTATATCTATATCTATATCTATATCTATATCTATATCTATATCTATATCTATATCTATATCTATATCTATATCTATATCTATATCTATATCTATATCTATATCTATATCTATATCTATATCTATATCTATATCTATATCTATATCTATATCTATATCTATATCTATATCTATATCTATATCTATATCTATATCTATATCTATATCTATATCTATATCTATATCTATATCTATATCTATATCTATATCTATATCTATATCTATATCTATATCTATATCTATATCTATATCTATATCTATATCTATATCTATATCTATATCTATATCTATATCTATATCTATATCTATATCTATATCTATATCTATATCTATATCTATATCTATATCTATATCTATATCTATATCTATATCTATATCTATATCTATATCTATCTATATCTATATCTATATCTATATCTATATCTATATCTATATCTATATCTATATCTATATCTATATCTATATCTATATCTATATCTATATCTATATCTATATCTATATCTATATCTATATCTATATCTATATATATATCTATATATATATATATATATATCTATATCTATATCTATATCTATATCTATATCTATATCTATATCTATATCTATATCTATATCTATATCTATATCTATATCTATATCTATATCTATATCTATATCTATATCTATATCTATATCTATATCTATATCTATATCTATATCTATATCTATATCTATATCTATATCTATATCTATATCTATATCTATATCTATATCTATATCTATATCTATATCTATATCTATATCTATATCTATATCTATATCTATATCTATATCTATATCTATATCTATATCTATATCTATATCTATATCTATATCTATATCTATATCTATATCTATATCTATATCTATATCTATATCTATATCTATATCT